CACCAGCCAAAGTACTTCACCAATGTGTTGTCGTATGCCGAGAACGGTGACTTACCAAGTGCCGAGCTTGGACGCCTGGGTTCAAATTGCAGGCAGGTAAAAGATACTGGCCGACATTGTCTTCCAACGTTGGCTTGGCTTAGTGGTTACGCTGGGAGGTGTACGTCATGTATGTATGCCCTGGGTTCAAATCCCAGAAGTCACTTGCAGCGATCGCAGCTCTTGTTTTTTATATTTACTATGGATCAAGTTGAAAATTTGAACTATGGAGGTAAGTTCTGCCCGGTCTGCCTCTGCTCGGCTGCTAACTTAAAGGCCCAACTGAGAAGCCGGCCTCAGTGAAGCCTCGGCTGACCATGTTCATACATTTTTGTCCACGGCCGACTCTGTGATATCTACATCTGACCAGCTGACCCTGGTAACCAGAGTCGAGGGCCCTCGGCCAACTACCAACCCAGGCCACAGTCGAAATATCAGCCGACCTTGCATAGCCTAGCTGCTAATCAGAAGTGATGGCCCTCGGCCGATCACCTACCCAGCAATGTTCAGAACTGTCAGCCAATCTTGCATGGCTTAGCTGCCCCCTCGGCCGATCACCTACCCAGCAATGTTTAAAACTGTCAGCCGGCCTTGCATAGCTTAGCTATCTTTCATCAGCCAAAAAACTGTCAGCCGACCTTGCATTGGTTAGCTATCAGCCGATACACAAATACAGGGACTTGACTTCCCAGCACAGCTTCCTCCTACTGATCGGTTTATGATAAATCTATGTAGCTGGCCGACCCTTCTTCACCTTGATACTGGGATCACATCAGCCAATTCATCAACACAGGGTTATTGGCCCTCATTGGCCCATCAGCAGGCCCCATCAACTATGGCCTGTTTGTATTGTCGGGGCTCTCAGTGTAGCTGGGTGATTCCTACTAACTGCCCTGCCACTTCATCAGGTGTTGGGGAACGACCTGGTTGTGTGTGCATATAGGCAGACCAAGCAAGCTAAGTCCTTTGTCCATTCAGTGTGCACAGGACCAGACCCCACACACCAATATAATTGATGGTGAGATGGAGTCCGACAAGAACAAGGAGAGTTGTGTAAATTTTCCATGGCGTTGTCAAATGGGGCACAATGAGCATACCAAGCTTTGAAAAAGATACATAAAACAGGTAGTAGCATTGTGTCGGTGCATAGACTTACCAGCATACCGAGCAAGGCAAGGACTGTCTCTTTGCTTGCGTCTTTTGTGTTAAGATTGCCTACATCGTCTGAACCTTTGAGCGGTGTGGCAAAGTGCAAACTGATGGAAGCATTGGAGCGCCCTACAGAGATAGCAAAAAGAGATCTGAATGATGTGCTGACGCATAATGCTGAAACTTGCAGACTGGGAAAGAAAAGGGTGTTGAGACAAGGTGAAATTGTGTCCAGAATTACGGCGGCGTCGTTGAGCATGTTGGCAAGCAGTTGGTATTTCTTTGTGTCAGGTGCTAGTGAAGAACCCAATACGTGGGCCGCGACAATTGCTGCATGCAAAAAAAAATTAGTGAAGATGTAGGATAACATGGCGACACTGACTTGTTAAACGACTGAAGACATCTTGCAGGACAGTGAGAAGTAGAGCATTTGTTGCTGTTGCAGATGGATCTCCAACTCTGAATCCTTATTGTGACCGAAAATGCGAATTGGAGCTTGAAGAAACAGCTTCAAGAATAGCCCTAGATGAGAAAAGTCCTGCCAAAGAATTGCAGAACACTTGTAAGGCACTTAATATTTGGTATCTAGAGCGAACTTTTCATAAGCAAAACAGCGTCCTTTTCAAGGAAAATCAGACCAAAGGTAGTCCGATGGCAACAGGCCGTCAGATAGCAGATTGTGTGACGCTTATTGCTTACCTGGAGACATGGAATCAGGGTAACCAGCGGGAAGGAACACTTTCGATACAAGATCAAGGACGTGTCCATGGCCTAGTTGCCCACATTTGTGGTCAGTCCAGTTGCCAGTTGCCATGTTTTTGTGAATATTTAAAAACTGAAAAAACCCGGTTTAGACCGGTTACAACCTGTCTTTCATCCCATCACATATTGGACCTTACTCGCACACATTTTTACTTAATTTTCGGTCCCTCAATTATCAAAAACGGTCAAGAATTGGTTGAGATATGGCCAAAAACATTTTAATACACAATTTGAATGTATATCCTTTCTGTTTTTGCCATATCTCAGTCAAATCTTCACCGAATTGCTTAAATTTTTGATCAGTCTACGGAGAATTAAAGTATCTATCTATGTATGCTATGTACGTGACGTAATATTTAGTTTCTGTAGTACAATAAATTTTTCAACAAAAGACCAGTCACAACTGGTCTGGACCAGTTTTTTTTGTGTTGTGGACCTATTAGGACTGGTCTAAAAGGGTCTGATTGCAGTCCCTTAATATCTGGATTGGTCTGGACTGGTTGCAGTTGCCAGTTGCCTCATTTTGAGGTAAAAAACCGGACTAGACTGGTGGAATAGGGATTCCAGGCTCCAGAGCATGGTCACATGCACATACATACCAGCATCACATGTAGTACATACTCACCACAATACCACCACTTACCCAGTCAGCTACATGCTGGGGGAGCCTCTCTGCCCTTTCCACCTGGTGATGAGAGTGTTTTTCATGCTTTAACATGCTTGCCTCTCACTCTCCACAGACTGCGTTGAAGAAGAAGCCTGTCAATCAGGCACCACCCACAGTACTGTACCATTTCGACCAAGTGTTCACGTCACACCGACAAATTTTTTATTCATCTTAAATCAAAAGAAAATTTTTCAGCCATCTCGGTGTGAAAAATTTCCCAAAATCATGAACACTTGGTCGAAATAGTACAGTAATGCCGCCAGTGCTAGCATCCACATCCCCATCAAAACCAGCAGCAGCATCATTGCCACCACTGCCAGTATCCAAAGAGAGCCTCACAAAGCTCATCGCTCTTGCCATGTCATCGCCGGACTCACCATTAGGCCTCATTTGGGTGCACACCTTTCAGGAAGGGTCAAGGGATGGATGCCAAAGGGGGACAGAGCTTTTCAAGGACAAGGATGTGAAGCAGGCATTTTGTGATGGTGCAGATGAAGGACAGATAATGGGAATACTGAATGAGAGGAAGGAATGGGAGGCAGCAGGCCACGGCTCCTGGTGTTTCAACACGAAAACAGACTGCTTCTCTTGTGAAGTGGGAATCCCTGATGGGCATACCTGCACCACCAAGCTTGACACGATGGTTCAAGTGGATTTCATCAAGGCTCAACCACCTTCTGCTGAAACTGCCATCCAGGCTTCTCCCTCACACCACACTTCCTCATCCCACACCACTCCACCTCTTCTTGTCAATGCCGAAGCTCAAGCCCAGCTTATGGATTTGCCCCCTGCTGCTACCACTGCTCCTACCTTGGACCCCCCAACCTTTCATTGGTCTGACAATGCTGCCTCCATACCTATTGTTCTAATATTCTCAAAAAATCAACCTTACCGTGACCTTTCAGCTCTTCGCACCACCAACCCCAACCCCTTCAGCTCTTTAGCACATCGGAACTGCTGTTCTCAATTGCCTTTGGAAAATCATGAAGTTTCTTGGCCCCGACCACCATTTTGGCCACGTTGAACCCCACCATTCTTCCCTGTCTCCCAAACTGTTCCTCGTCAATGCTTCATTCTGGTCTCGAACCCCACTCACCGCCATTGCCATCAACCCCATTGAAGATGCCTACGGCTCTTGATTGGGAATCTGATCCATGCCTCTCAGATTTGAGTCAAGCTTTGAAGGCACTTGGTTGGATTTGTCAGTGATATTTCTTTATGTTCCTACTTTGTCCATCACATCATTTTCTTTGCTTAATTTTGGATCTCTACTCTATAATTTTCTTAGTCCTCTTACATTTCTTTCTCTTTTTCAGCAGCTGGCAACAGGGACGTCGCCTTATGGGAAGGGGGCAGATGGAATAGGGATTCCAGGCTCCAGAGCGCAGTCACGTGCACGTACATACCAGCATCACATGTAGTACATACTCACTGCAATACCACCACTTACCCAGTCAGCTACATGATGGGGAAGCCTCTCTGCCCTTTCCACTGGACTTTAAAACACTAGTTGTTTCATTTGACCACTTTGTTTCCTTGTATTCACCGATCACTCTAGGATGTGCCAGGACAAATTTCCTACATGGTGGATATTTGGTCAACAAAAGCTTGGTATCCATACCTGGCCATTACTGCACATTGGATACATAGTTACAAGTCTACCAAGGGTCTTCAGCTGTGTTCTACACTCATCACATTTCACTGTCTTCGAGGAAGCCACAACGGGAAGAGGCTAGCAAGGATTGTCCTCCATCTCTTGGATCGAGTTGGGATCACAGTCAAGGCATGTCTAAGTTTCATTTTCTTTCCCTTTTATTGGACTCTCGATAACTGCTTGCTCAATAATGCTTTCCTCAGAAAACTCGAGTTACTTTTACGCCCTTGCGACATTGAGTTTAATCACAAGGAGAATCATATAAGATGCTTCCCACATGTTACCAACATATGTTCGAATCACATCATCAATGCATTTACTGATATCACCCTGGTAGATGATACAGGGGGATTCATCGCATCCGCATCAGGCCCTCCAAGTGATCCCGATAATCAGAGTTACAAAGAAGCAGTTGGTTGCAACCCAATTGCATTGTGCTGGAGTACCATACGAGCAGTATGTGCCTTAAGTCAATGACATGACCACCTGGCAGAAGTAATAGAGGATGGAAACAAGAAAGGGTGGTTCAAGTCAACTGGGGATCCGACCATGACTATACAGGTTAAGCAGGCACAACTTATATGTGACATGAAGGTCCGGTGGGACTCTCTTTATTTCATGATCAATCGGTTTCATAAACTATGCCCGGTATGTTTGAACTTCATCATTCTATCAGTGTATACTTATAAAAATAGGCTGTTGAGCATTTTCTTTCTTTGCCCATCAATAGAGAGCTTGCGAAACTTAGACTTACTGATATGGAATGGACTGTACTCCAGGATTTTGAGATTGTACTGGGTGTATGTCTCTAATATTGATACCTGTTCAAGGCTAAGTCTTTTTCTTAGGTACCCCATCAAGTGCAGAAAATCATGTCCAAAGAGTGCACTCCCGTTTTATCAGGCACAATTCCTGCCTTCAAAATGTTCATGATGGCATGGGAGCAACTTGGGAGAGAACACCCCCACTTGGCCTGATGGATGGATATTGGTATCGACTGGGTGACAACTTACTACAAGAAAATGGATGATTTGCCTGCCTACATTATTGTGATGTGTGAGTTAAGGTTCAAATTCATAGATCATTCAATAACTTGACATCATCAGTTCTCAATCCCTCAATACAATTGTCATGGATTCAATGACACTGGGAGCCTGTTTATGTTGAAATATATACATACTGGATCAAGTTTTTTTAACATGCCTGAGGTGGCTGAAGTTCTTGCCAAAATTTAAAATTCAGATTTTCTACATCTCATGAAGGTACTTTGATTGCACACTTCAACATAACTGTATCTGATATTGGCACTGCTGTTGCAGACAGAAGTTATGTAGGTTTGTATCTGCAGTTCAACAAAACTGAGGTATGTAACTTGAAGAGGCCTTGATGCACATTGGTAGCTTAGTGGATGCATTGGAGGATAATGGACAGCTCAACAGGAGAGTTGAAAATGGGCTTGAATGCAAGCACAGACATAAAGTATGGGATCGTGAATCATGAGATGCTTCTGATAAACTCATACACAGTCAATCATCAATTAAAACAGTCATATAAAGAGAAATTTATTCAACATACTAAACAGAATATCAAGATATGAGAAGAAGCCAGAATTTCAGTGAAAATGAATATAGGTGAGAAGGATGGAAGCATTGCAGAAGAAGAATTAAATACTAGTTCCTGTAATGCCATCATTGAGATGTTTCTTACTATGAAATGAATGTATCATCCCAGACTTGAATTTTGAAATCCTCTTAGCAAGATTGGTCAGAGAATGTACTAATCATATAAATATGAGTGTCAGTGAAAATGAAAAAATGAAGCTCATTTCATACCTTTTTCCCTAGAATTCATAAGGGGAGATTCTGCTCCAGGAACTTTATTCTTTATTTTCTGAGCTTGGATATCCAGTTTCTGTGCCTCTGTGTATTTTCCTAGATGTTGATATGTGGCTGCAAGATGTGCCATGGCCTTGATTGTACGTGGGTGTTCCACTCCAAGAATTCTGTTGCTTGCATCCAGAACTTGGATCTGCAGCTTCTCTGCCTCTGTGTATTTTCCCAGGTGTCGATATGTGGATGCTACACTTGCCATGTCACTGATTGTATCTGGGTGTTCCACTCCAAGAATTCTGGTACTTGCATCCAGAACTTGGATCTGCAGCTTCTCTGCCTCTGTGTATTTTCCCAGGTTTCCATATGTGGCTGCTAGATTTGACATGGCAGTGATTGTATTTGGGTGTTCCACTCCAAGAATTCTGGTGGCTGCATCCAGAACTTGGATCTGCAGCTTCTCTGCCTCTGTGTATTTTTCCAGGTATTGATAAGTTGCTGCAAGATGTGCCATGGCATTGATTGTATGTGGGTGTTCCACTCCAAGAATTCTGGTTCTTGCATCCAGAACTTGGATCTGCAGCTTCTCTGCCTCTGTGTATTTTCCCAGGTATTCGATATGTTGCTGCAAGATGTGCCATGGCATTGATTGTATCTGGGTGTTCCACTCCAAGAATTCTGTTCCTTGCATCCAGAACTTGGATCTCCAGCTTCTCTGCCTCTGTGTATTTTTCCAGGTATTGATAAGTTGCTGCAAGATGTGCCATGGCATTGATTGTATCTGGGTGTTCCACTCCAAGAATTCTGGTTCTTGCATCTAGAACTTGGATCTGCAGCTTCTCTGCCTCTGTGTATTTTCCCAGGTTTCGATATGTTGCTGCAAGATGTGCCATGGCATTGATTGTATTTGGGTGTTCCACTCCAAGAATTCTGTTCCTTGCATCCAGAACTTGGATCTGCAGCTTCTCTGCCTCTGTGTATTTTTCCAGGTATTGATAAGTTGCTGCAAGATGTGCCATGGCACTGATTGTATCTGGGTGTTCCACTCCAAGAATTCTGGTTCTTGCATCCAGAACTTGGATCTGCAGCTTCTCTGCCTCTGTGTATTTTCCCAGGTTTCGATATGTGGCTGCAAGATTTGCCATGGCAGTGATTGTATTTGGGTGTTCCACTCCAAGAATTCTGTTCCTTGCATCCAGAACTTGGATCTCCAGCTTCTCTGCCTCTGTGTATTTTTCCAGGTATTGATAAGTTGCTGCAAGATGTGCCATGGCATTGATTGTATCTGGGTGTTCCACTCCAAGAATTCTGGTTCTTGCATCCAGAATATGGATCTGCAGCTTCTCTGCCTTTGTGTATTTTCCCAGGTTTCGATGTGTGGCTGCAAGATTTGCCATGGCAGTGATTGTATTTGGGTGTTCCACTCCAAGAATTCTGTTCCTTGCATCCAGAACTTGGATCTGCAGCTTCTCTGCCTCTGTGTATTTTCCCAGCTTTCGATAAGTTGCTGCTAGATTTGCCATGGCACTGATTGTATCTGGGTGTTCCACTCCAAGAAGTCTGGTTCTTGCATCGAGAATATGGATCTGCAGCTTCTCTGCCTCTAGTGTATTTTCCCAGGTTTCGATATGTGGCTGCTAGATTTGCCACAGCATTGATTGTATCTGGGTGTTCCACACCAAGAATTCTGTTCCTTGTATCCACAACATTAATCTGTAAGTTTTCTGCTTCTCTTGGATATCCTTGTTCCATCAACAATCTCCCACACTTGGCATAAGCATCATCTAAGTAAGTGACACCATTCTTGTTACTTTCTGATGTGGCATGCTCCATATTCACTCTTATATGTGTTACCAAGACCCTCCGAAATCCATATGGCTGGTCTTTACCCCATCTTAGTGAACAAGACAAAGTGACATATGCCATCAAGCAACATTGTTTCTTCTCATTTGGAAGCATTCTGTCTCTGCCCCAGGAATGGACCAGTGGATGCATTGCATACACACCATCAGATGGGCCTTTTTTGATGAAGGAGAATGACAGTAATATTCGGACTCCCTCTTTAAAGACAAAGTTATCCCAAGTACCTGATTTATTGAGAGGAAGTAGTCTCCAGTCCAGCAGAGAGCTGGCAAGAGGTAACTTTGAGGCAAGAATTTTCTTTTTTTTTTGAAGGGCAGCATAAAAAAAGATGTCTTCAGTAATCCCCTCATGATGGAAGAAAGGGAATAATTCCAGAAGGAGCATTGCACTATTGGCTGCTTTGGCCTTACGAGAATCATCAGATTTAGCCCTTCTCTGAATTTCTTTGTATGATAACTCCCAAGTTTCATAAACAGTTTTGTTATACTTAGAAGCTCCAGTAAAATCTGAATGAAATAATAGTGTCTTCCGGTGCTCTGAATATTTTGCAAGGTAGTCTCTGATAGTGGTTGCTCCAGAAGCAATGTAAGCACCAGCCTGATCAATTGCAAGAGGAACACAGAAGAGCTCTTTCACAATCTTAGAAGCTTCAGATTGAAACTCTATTGAAGATGAATTCAAGCAACTAGCTTTTAGAAGTAATTCAAGAGCATCATTCCCTTCCATCTCAGTTATTTCAAGAGAGTTCTCAGGTGAAGTTAGCCTCCTCATGGCAGAATTGCGACTAGTTATCAGAATATTTCCACCCCTTCCAGGTGGAAGATAAGCTTCCAGCTCAGCAGGTGATAGATTATCAGCATTGTCAAACACCATTACATAGTTCTCTTTCAGCAAGCCAATCCAGCAAAGAGCAGATTCAGGTGACCCATCCAGAGCAGAAGACTGAGCCTCAGGAAGGTTACAGATGCCCTTCAGTGCCTGTGTGATGGTGCTAACTGAGGATGCATCAATCCAAAAAACAAGAGAAAAGCTGAAGGTAATTGAAATTGAATTAAAAGGCATTGGAATGGTATTCAGTAGATACTCACTGGTCAGACATCTCCTCAACAAACTTCAAGCAAATTTGAGTCTTTCCAATCCCCCCCATTCCATGCAACAGGAAGAACTTTCTCTTCTTAGCTCTGCCATTTGCGTTGGTAAAAAAATGCCTCTTGAGTTTGGTGATAACTTCTGTCCGTCCTGTGAACCGATTGCTTGGGTTTGGCGTGAGGGGGATGACCCCGTCCGACGTGGTCCTATTGCCGTTGTTGATGTTGTGGATGTGCATCTGCCGGAGATCCGTGCTCTCAGCTTCGTTCACTGGTGCATTAACACAATAATCATTCTACTCACAGTGTTAGCATTATTGAATGTGCTGTTGTTAGCAACAAAGTGGTGAGCGCCCGCAAGAACGTTCGCTCCGCTCATGTTGAGATATCGACGATGGAAAGGTTTCGGATGAGAGAGGGAAAGGAAGAAAGAGGAGCGCCCAGACGCCAAAAAGACCCCCAATCATGCCACGAGTTGGTCTATTTGTATATATGTATTATGGATACACAAGCACGTGCCTTGGCTCACTTTCCTTCGTTCTTCGGCCGCTTACCTGATTCTGTGGACTGGCTCGACTTTCTAGCATGTTGGTACTTTGCAAGCTCCCTTCGTCCGTGAATGTGGTTGCTGCTGCGAATGTGGAGTTTAACGACGAGTTGCTCACAGTTAAGCGCTTGGGTGGACCCGGTGATCGATCGACGCCTAATGACCACCTGGCATCACACTCACCAGCACCAGCACCAGCAGCAGTATGAAAACGCAACGGCGTATGAAAACCCCACCACGGCGTACCGCACGCATAACATATGTTTTCAGCGCATCGTCTACCGCTTCCTCAGCATTCCCTCATCCTCCACCACCACCAACAAAGGGAGTCAGCTAAGTAGCGTACACGACGCTTATCAACAACACCCATTCGACTCTACCCTCCCAGCGATAAACAGTGGGATGCGCTACGACCCTCCTTCTCCTTCCTCCCCTCAACTCCCTCCCTCGTCCACCACGAACCTACCACCATCATCGTTCCACCCTGCCCACGCCCATCTAACACGACACACACGCTCACCAGCATCCCGCTCCCGCCCCAGATCACGTCCTCCCTCCTCCAGCTCTGCTCCTTTCCCACCGTCATCCGCCGCAAATGGGTCAGGCGGTATGGGGCCTGCAAGGACGACTAGAGCCAGGAGGAATGATAGCATACCTGGCACTTAGTCGGTGGTATATGCCTGGGCAGAGTGAGAGCTAGCTCGTATGCCTCTTTCTCTCGGCGTGTTTCGTGTTTTCGTGAAGCTGATGAACGACGAAAACAGAGCCTTGGAATACTCACTCCCAACACCCGACCATCATCAAGAATACACCCCCTTTGTACTTTCCTCATCTCAAGACATGCTCACCATCTCCCGCCTTTGCACCACCATTCCCACCACGCGCATTCGCACTCGCTGCCGAAGGGGTTAGACACGCAAGCTGTCAATTTGATATCGCTCCCTTCTTACGATCCTCTCCCCCCTCAAAATCAAACTCAAGGTCAAGCACAACAAGTCCAGCTCCCCCCTCCTTCCTCGGGGGCCGCACCACCACAACAACAACAGGGCGAAGGACTAGGACAACAACAACCAGCAGGCGACAAACAAGCCCTCCTAGCCAACGAGAAACGAAGGAGGAGGAGGGAGAGCCATAATGCCGTTGAGAGACGACGGAGGGATAATATTAATGAGAAGATTAGCGAGCTTGCTACCTTGATTCCGGAGTATGTTGGATGTTGGAGGTGAGTTTTGGAGGGTTCCTCGCGTTTGCTTTTTTCTCGCGTCTATTCCCCCTCCTTGGGTTGGATCACATTCCTCCTTCCCCCTCCATGTTTTGGGAGGGGAGAGGGGCGGCTGTGGCTTTGGCGCCTTTTGCTTTTGGTGTTGACCATGGGGTTGGAGGTTTCCTCCCCCTCTCCTTTTTCTCTGGCGCCATCTATCCCCGCGTTAACGTTATGGATTGCATTACGTTTTTTGTCCCCCCCCCCTCCATCATCCGAAAACCTGAACCCAAACTAATCCTCTCCCCTCTCCCCAGGTCCAAACGGAAACGGAACGGGAAACGGCAACGCTTCTTCCCTATCCGCCTCTTCCCCAGGTGGGGGAGGGATCATGTCAAACGGTCTCCCGGACCCAGATTCGTTGCTGACACCTGGCGGGACGACCCCCGTCGACGTGTTGAATGGGCTTAATAATCCCAGTGCGAATGGGTTGAACGGGACACCGACTAGAAAAGATTCATTGGGCGAGGATGGTGGGCCTGGAGGGGGACAGCAGGGAGGGGATGGGGGTGTTGTCAAGGCGATAAGGGAATGATTTTGAGGAAGAGTGTTGAGTATATTAGGTGGGTTTTTGCTTTTTCTTTGTGTCCTCTTAACCAAGCAATATTAACACTCCTTCTGTTACTATCTAGATACCTACAACAACTCGTAACAGCACAAGGCGCACGGAACCGCGAGCTCGAACAAGAGCTCAAAGCCTACCGCCGACGATCACGCAGCTCATCCAGCATGGAACCACCTCTTTCCGACTCAGCGGGTACCGCGGGAACAGCGGGGGACGGCAGCAGCATGATCCTTCATGACGAGCTGCACCACTTCCATGGGCATGGGCATATGGGGAGACTGCCGAGTATGCCAGAGGAGGGCGGGGACGATGGGGATGATCTTATGATGGGGCTTGAGGATGACATGGGGATGGGGATGGGGATGAAGGGGAGTTTGAGCCCTGATTCGACGGAGGGTGAGAAGGAGGGGGAGGGGGAGAGGTTGGTGGAGGAGAGGGGGCGGACGAGGGGGGTTAGGGGGTTGAAGGCTGAGGTGCAGAGTGATGATTCGTTGTTGGGGATGTGAAGCTGGTTTTTTCTTTTTCTTTTCGCATCCCGGTGGATATGCCTTGCCTTTTTTTTTGTTCTTTTTTTCTTCGTGGGGTTCCTTCTGGCTTTGCTGCTTTCAATCTTCCCCCCACTCCCTTGCCTCTTTTTTTTCGTGATGGTGATTCTCTATTACTTATGCTGCTGCTGCTCTATACCCCGACACCGACCCGACATGCTTGAGGATCAACGAAACCAATACGATAATCCATGGTCCCCTCTCCCCCCTCCCCCCACATCAACTTGGAACTCTCTCCAGCGCAATGATCATTCCTTGGAACGCGTCCAGTCCAATGCTTTCTTTCAATCGCAATCGAAGCGACAAACCACTCAAAAAAACCCAGACAAAGTTGGGAAGCTGTGTATATTAGTTAGTACAAAGTCCCAGTAAACTACAGAGATACAATGTGAATGATTGATTGAAAATACTACAACGTCTTTGTCAAATGCCTCCAACTGCGACCGGCCACTCAATAACGCCTGCATCGGCTAGGCGTCCGTGGTCCTCGAGAGGTCTACCCAACTAGTCCGGCGGAGGGTAGCGCATAGCGAGAGTGGCTGGCCATGGCTCGTGTCCCTGAGTACTTAGTGGCCATGAAACGGGTCAGCAGTGGGAGATTAAGGGAGCGGGTTAGATGCGGAGGAGGGCGGTACAGAGTCTATGTTGCTATCATCCATCGTTGACATAAGGGAAGTTAAGTGGAAGGGGTTCGTTTGCGAGTCTCGACATTGCACTTGATAATGCGGTAGCGTCGGATTGATCCTCCGAAGGAGAGTGGCTTCAAGACGTAGAGGAATTGCGGTAGAAGGTGCTGGGTCTTTGACAAGGTGGATATCTATGTATCTCATCCTATGAGAGCCAGCTGACTCGTTAGCTACCGTTTTTATCGAGGCCGAATGAGGATAGACTTACTGAAAGATCAAGAATTGAGCAAAGGCTGGCAGGGCCCTTTGACCTCACGTTAATGAATTTCAAACAACCACAACCCTCTCTTCGCCTGCGCACTCTTTCGAGCCATCGACATTATCTTCGCCAACGAACATCCAAGACTTCGACGAAGCTCAGCCTCCTAACATGGTTCACCAAACAAGATATCAGCGCCATCAGAACCTCCAACCACGACAGGCGTTGGAGAGGGGCCGAGTGACGCAAGGGGAATGCCTTGCACGCGAAAACACCGAAAAGGGTGGATGGATCGATGACGGTGTATCTACTCCGAGGCTCCTGCCAAACACAACCAAACAAGTGTCTTCAGTGTTGGAGTGTCGAGGCCCGACACTCCAGCGTAGTCTAACTGAGAAGTGCACAGAAGCCAGCTTCACCAAAATGGGCCATCATTGCGACCTAATCTGGCAAAGGAGTCCCTTTGATTCGTTGAAAGCTTTTGCAAGGTGTACGAGGCGAGCTGCTAGACGATTAGTTGGGTCGTGAAAGGTAGTTTAGAAAATCAGGCGTATTGAAGAAGCGGCGCATATGGATCTGCAGTAGTGACGGCCATAAGAAGGCGATATCAACAAAAGAGGCAACAAAACAAACCTTGAAATCCTTCCAACACCTTCAATATCGGCTCAATATCGTCCTGTATGTATCACAAACAGTTTCTGGCCTAGCGGCGTGTTTTAGTTGACGTCCGAACAACGTTTGTTTCATGTTGGCCTACCCTGTTTAGGGTAGTGAGGCGCCAACTTCTGTCTCTCGTTGGGGCGGTAAAACGCAACAAAGAGAAGCGGCGGCACGGAAAAGGGGGTCTTATGTGAGGGCGTCGAAGAGGCTATGTTGTTGTCGTCCGTCGTTGACATAAGGGAAGTAAGTGGAAGGGCTTCCGTTCGCAAGCATCGACTTGGGCTTAAGTTGTGATAGCGTCGGATGAGGACTCGTAGTCTCCTAGTGGGTTCAAGACATAGAGGGGTTGCGACAGAACTTCCTATAAGCAACCTATAAGAGCCAACTGTGAGTAGACTCGTTAGCGACCACCATTATAGGAATGAAAATAACCTTACTTGAAAAGACTCCACAATAAATGCGAACCGATGAATCAAGAGCCCTTCAACCGCACCTCAATAACTTGCAAACGGCCACGACCCTCTGTTCGCCAGTGAGCTCCCTTGAAAGCATCGCCGTTGTCAACGCTAACGCTTGACGATGCAGAGGGTGAGCAAGGATGGAGTGATTTTGAGTATGGTTGATGAGGTGACGTTGGGGAATGGGGAGATGTTTCAGGCTAGATGGGTTGGCGGTGAATGTTGGGGGGGGGAAGGATCAGACTAGGGGAGCTCGCGAGTCTGGGGCCGCTCTACATCCAATTCGCCCTCGCCATTTCCGGTTCGTAGCACAACTCTCCAGACGGAAGAGAACGCGAAAGTGGGACGCTAAGGTAGGTGCGTTTGGTGACGATGAGCAGCTTGATCCTTCCTTACAAACACCTAAGCGAACACCTCCATACCCCACAAACACTCCACGCATTATCCCTCTCCTCCGCTGTCCAAGGTATTAGCGCCGTATAGCATACTAACGGCAGCTTCCTCCTCTTCAAAGGACGGGGAGGGTGTTGTATGGTTGCCAGGAGTCATTCAGGGCGTATTTGTTTCGAAGAGAGTTTGAAGTGGTGCTGCGAGAGTCATTTGTGGATATTTGGTGGATGATGGTGTTGGTGATAGTGTTGAGCTGTCCTGTCTTCGAAGGGAAAGAGGGAGGAAGAATGGCGGTGATTCCAATGCTCGTTTTCGTGTTCTTCATCATTGACACTGGCGGGCAGCCGCTCGATAACGTCCGCAATCCTCCCATCCTTCAAAGAATAATCGGCGAAGATTTCGCCTGGATACCATGAAAAGGGGAGAATAGAATGAGCCATATGGGCGAGTCAAAAGATATAGAAGAATTCACACCTTTTCTGGACAGTAAATCGGGATAGTGTCTTCAATTTACGGTCCTCTCCTACGGGATTAGACGTTGACGGGTTTCGACATTTGCACCCTAAACCAAGTTGGGCGTAGCCAGATGAGGACCAAGAAACGTACAGAACGAGCTTTGCGTACCTAATAACACCCCAGAGACACAACACATAGATGTAAATGCTGGGAAGATGTAACGGTTGGGGAAGTGGGCCACGAGACACGCTGAAAACTCTAGCGTATCGGAGAGTAAGTGTAAATGAATCTGCGGTAGTGGTATGGGTTTGTAAGAACCGGGAAAAGGATAGCAAAGGGAATGGAACGAACCTTAAGTTGGACTGTTTCGGCATCTCCTCCCCTCAAAGTACGCTACGTATCGTCCTCCGCCTCATGGGTACGCATTACCAGTGGGTTCCTCAGCCTAACGGCGCGTTTGAGTTGCCGTCCGAACACTGAAGTTGTTGCGCGTCGGAAAGTTGTCCTAGTAGTTACTAGTGATCGAGCCCTCGACAATTACGGCGAAGGATGGGCGGGTCATGGCTTCTAGTGGGGCTGGAGTCAGAGATGGACGAGGGACTGAGATGGGAAGGGGACATACGTGTAGAAATTGGCCTCATGACTACGGCGTGTATAGCCAAAAGCTGGACAACTACAGAATCAGTACGCGTCATTGATATGCACGAAACCCAAGTACTCACCAGCTCCCAAACGGAACCAAGACGCAATGACACTCCGCCCTTTCTTCAGCTACCGCCGAATCTCGCAGAGTTTCTGGACAGGCGCCTCGCACTATTCTTCGAATCCAGAGGGTGTTGTAACTGTTATTCCTCATTTTCGGCGGGTTTTGACGGGAGTTTTTCTACTGCAGTAGTTCAATCGGGTTGTTGACGGGCTTTGAGAGAAAGTTCTTCGACTGTTTTGCTAGTTTTTGTGAGTTTGGAAGATGGCGTTGGTGTTTGTCTACGTGGTGGGCGCTTAATCATGGTTTCACAATGGGCGCCATTCCGCTTTCACTTACCCCATTCTCAAGGAAGTAGACAGAGCTAAAATGTTGAGGGTTGGTTCTATGATTGAAAATACTACGACCTTTGCCTGTGCGCACGTAGGTCTATGCGACTGAGAGATTCCACAAGATCCCTGACCACTTGTGCCCCAGAAATCTCCTTGTTGAGTTCCTCCAACTCCGACCGGCCGCCCCATAACATCTGCGTCGACTGTGAGACCTCGAAGCTGCATGTCCGTGGTCCGTGAAAGGCCTACCCAACTAGTCCGGCGGATGGTAGTATAGCGTGAGGGCCTAGCTTAGGGGAGATAAGGGAACGGCGCCACTGCAGAGAAGGTTTAGGTGAGGGCGTTGTAAAAAGCTGGGTTGCCGTCATCCGTTATTGACATTAATAAAGTTAGGTGGAAGGGATTCGGTTGCGAGTCTCGACCTTACTCTTGGTGTTGTGGTAACAGAATGTTGGTTCAAGACATAAAGGGATTGCAGAAGAAAAGGTATCGGGACTTTGATAAGATCGATACCTATGTTTCTCATCCTGCTAGAGCCAGCTGCTTTAGTTACCGCCGTTATAACTTATAGAAATAAAGATAGACTTACTTGAAAAGATCAGGAATTGTGCCAAGAACCCTCGACCTCACGTCAATGGATGTTGAATAGCAACATACAAGTGAGCGCTCCTTCAAGCATCGTCATCATCTTCGCCTACGAACTTCAAATACTTCGATGAAGCTCAGCATCCCAGCACAGCTCATTGTCGAAACCTCAGTTCAATCGGGATCTTTAACCGGGCGCAGAAACCAACTCCACCGAAATGGGCCATCGTTGCGATGGAATCGGGTGAAAGAGTCGCGCGAATTTGTGAAAAGCTTCGGCAAGGTGCACGTAATGAGCTGCTACACCGTCAATTGGGTCATGAAAGGCAGTTAAAAGTAGGGTGCGGAGAGTGCACACCTTTTCCGCGACTATAGGCGGGAGAAGCTTCCTTGGGTATCGAGAGAGTATACAGACGGCGAATCTTGGACAAGAGAGTATGTAGAGCTACAGGTTGACGTTCTCGTGAGCGTGCGTCCCAGCAAAACAACTGACAAGGTGCTGGTATGACCTACCCGGAGACGATGGAACGAGTCGACGATACGGTGATCAATTTCCAAGAACTACTGTCAGACTGCACGCGTAGGGCATCGCGGATGAGACAGCGTGAGTGGGAGGAGATGGGGAGATGGGTTGGCGTCGATTGTGGTAGGAGAGACTTTACTGGTACGATCTGCTGAGCTTGAGGGATTGATACCCATTCGTGGGGACAAAGACGTCCACGGAAGCTTTGAGCTCGCCTTCTTACTACTCCTGACAGGACCCAGTGTCCCATCACTAAAAAAGAACTCAGCTCTCGCCGACACCGTCTTCGTTCACGTTCCTCGCGAGTCCGTACGATCGTCGAGGAGCTGCAATTCGACTTCGGCATCGATCTCGGAGTTGAGGAGGGTAAGAAGTCGAATGTCGTCTTGCAGTGCTCGAATCAGAGCTTCTCCAGTCCGTTAGCATTGTGAATCCACCCCAGCTCGAAGTGATCTATTTGCGGGGGTAATATCATCGGTTAGACGACAGTGACTCTCCATTCCCATCCAGGTCATTTCCAACCGGAAAGCCATCCTTCGTCGACGTTCCAATCCCATGAAAAGACGCTAACAGAGGGGTCTGGCCGTCTGTCTGAGAAACACAGGCCGCGGGCATGCCAGGGCACGGGCGTCTGCATGAGAATTCCGGGATGTGCGAGAGGCGCGATAGGGCCGAGGTTGGTGGGTGTATTTGAGCCATCGCTGTGGAGATAGTGATGGAGGAAGAGCTGGTGGTTGAGAAGCAAATGGGCGTGGGGATGGGGGTGAAGGGTAGTTCGATGGTACTTCGCCTTCTTCTTGCGTGTTTTGCGTCGGAGATAAAGAAATATATCGAGGAGAGTACGGAGGGGGTGGCGAGTGTGATAGGGATGGGTTGGACGGCTGTTGATGGGGTGGGGTGGATGTCGATGGCAGGAAATTTTTGAGGGTGCTCGATGTCATCCATCCGTTTCATTTCAAAGTATACTCCAGGAAAGATTCACTTTTGTTCGCTGGAGGGTCGACATCGAGGTGAAGTGACTGTTTTCTGTCAGAAAAGATGGCTGCTAATGCGAGTCAGAGATTCATAGTGGTGAGGGAATAGAAGGTCTTACAGCGAAAGTTTTCGGAGAAAATTTTGATTTTGAACAAGTCATGGCCTGAAGTTGTGAACCCATACTTCAAACGCCAAGGGGCTCTGCTCCCTCTCGCAAGGTTGGCATAAGAGAAATACGTAGATGGGCAGAGTGGAAGGAGCCAGGTGTGAGGCGCATTGGGTTGGACGCCACAGAGATTTTGCATGAGTGTGCGTTTCGTCGCCCGATTAGGATTCCGACAACGAATTCTCACAACGAGTTATAGGTCGATTGGTATATCTCGATCCAGATCGCCGATACTTTCTGCCTTCTTTTTGAAACCGCGGTAGCCGGAGTTGCAGCCTCCTCTGTAGAAGTCGAAGAAGTAGCACTTGAGTAGCACCTAGCTAAGGACTTATTGGAACTAAGAATACATTAGTTATCATGTCGTTTTCGGGCAATTTTCGGGCAACATTGTTTGTTTTCCTGCATACAAACCAAACACTGCGCTTCACACGTCCCTCAACGTTCATCAAATACTATGTCGTGCCGGCGCAAACATTTCCAAAATTCCACCCTCTCTGTCAACCCGCACGAAGTTATCGTGGTTTGATGGGACGTCTTGTGGGATCTAGGATAATATCGAGTGTGTATATTCTCTTCTATATCTCTCTTCACGCGTTAATGTCATACACCTCTAGAATTATCTATCGACTACGCACTGTCAACTGTTAGCTAACTAAAATGAAACATGTTATCATTTTCTCGGAGAGAGCATTGTTAAGTGTGCTAAAAGAAGATTGGTGAACACTTGCATCGTGGGGAATGGAAGTGGTGGCCGAGTCTTCAGAAAAGGTATGTTGGGCGAACTCTGATGTTTGAGAAGACATACATGTTATTGAGTGTCTGGGAGCCTCAAACCTCGACCTTTGCACCTTCCTGTGTTCCCGTTCACTCAGAATGGAGGAGCGTCGACGTCGGTCAAACTGGTGTGACACGTCGAATCGTTTGAATGCACTCTTCCGCGTGACTTATACTTCGGCACAGTCCGAAACATTGTTATTCATGTCTTCTGTCAAGTTCTGAATCTTTGCCTATATATTAAATAACTTACTATTTTCATTATTATTTTGCAGTCGTCTACGAATTGACGATGCTTCTTTAAAGGAGGATGCAACTCCGTCTATCGCGGTTTCAAAGAGAAGCCTGCGGGTATCGGCGATCTGGATCGAGATATACCAATTGACTCATCACTGCTCACAACTCATCTCCGATTGATCTCACCTCTTCTTCATCAACCACGACGATACCGCCCAACCTATCAATATCTTCAGCCTTTCAAACTTTCCTAGTCTCCATATTACAACACGTCATTTCACTCATGGAACCTTCTTCATCAACTGCCCTCCTGAAAAACGCTATTGGAACCACCATATCTGGAAGCGTGCAGGTCATTAACGCCGGCCGCGACGTCGTTCTTCATGGCTCTCTGGCCCCTCCTGCTGCAGGTATGTTAGGTTTTATATGAATTTTCCAATACTATCAAATGGTTCATGGCATCTAGGTCTTCTGGGCTTGCTTAGGCCCATCAGTAATGCTACCCATACTTGCGTGGGTCATGTTGCTCGATGTGATCCTGGAACCTGCCTAGAGGTCATCACTCAGATCGAACAGTGGCTTAACAGCTCTTACGAGCGAGCTGTTATCTGCTGGCTCAGTGGACCAGCTGGCTATGGCAAGTCAGCAGTGGCTCAAACCATTGCTGAGTGCTATGCCAAAGAGAGTTGTCTTCTAGGGTGCTTCTTCTTCCTTCGAGGTGCTGGTGAACAGAGTCAGATATCTTCCTTGATTCCTACTCTTGCACATCAGGTTTCCCTTTCTGTTCCTGCTGTTCAGCCTTTGCTTGAGAAGGCTCTTCAAGATGAGCCAGCCTTGCTTGGGCCTTCTGTCTCTTTAGCTCACCAATTTCAGAAGTTGATCATAGAATCAATTCATTCCACCACTCCCAAATCATTCCACTCCACCACTTCCAATCCAAACCATTCCACCACTTCCAAAGTCCCAAGCAAAAGATCTTTATTATTGATGCTCTTGATGAATGTAATGATAAGGCTGGAATGGCAGCCTTCATTGATATTTTGCTCCATGCATTTCCTGGAAGGAGTTATCCTCCCTTCCGAATACTCCTTACCAGCAGGGTGGAGGAACACATTTGGAAAAAAATTGTTCATGCTGAGGCTCAATCTTTGTACCATCTGGACTTGGGGAATTTTGATGCTTGTTCAGATATTCAAGTATACTTCAAAAGGGAGTTTGCTCGTATCTTGGCTGAGAATTGTCAAATGATGCAGAAAATACCAAAGCCCTGGCCATCAGCTGAGGATCTTACTGAACTCCTTGACAAGGCTGGCAGTTCATTTGCATTTGCTATGACAGTAATCCAGTATGTTGGAGGAGAATCCATGCCACACAAAGCATTGCAACAACTTTTGGAATCTGGAGCTGCTGGTCTGGATCCACTCTATAAACAAGTTCTTTCCTCTGCTTCTGGGACAAAAGCTCTTTATCAGATTCTTGGAACAATCATGATTCTGGAGGACAACCAATCTATCTCTTTTCTTAGCTCCCTCCTCAATCTTCAGCATGAGGCCATACACTGTTTGGAACATCTGGCAAAATACCCTTCAAAAGATTTTTTTGATGGTCATGTGGCCAACTATGCTTGCTATAATTAGCCACAGCATACTCTGTTAGGATTTCAGAAGCAGCAATTAAATGTGGATGAAACAATCATGACCTCTTTGGTAACTCTTATAAAAAAATTACTGACTTTTCAGGGTAAGACATGGTATAATACCATGCTGACTTTCAGAGATCATGAGAGAACAAGCATGTTACAGTGCATGACTGATGCAAAGAATTTGTTCCAAGTTAGTAATTACAATTTTAAGATGGTTGTCTAACATGTATAAGACATCACAGGAGTCAATTGTTACAAGAAATCTGACAGAGCTATTTCAACAAGTTCTTGATTTTTATGATGTAAGAGTTTATAATTACAATATATTCACTGATTTATCAAGATATTCCAACAGACAGTAAGTAACAGGAGAACAATACTGCTCAAAAATTAATCTGTAAGATCAATAGGAGGTACGTGGTGATAAACAGCAACTAAAAGGTATCAAAATAAAATATTGACCTGTTTTACAGAATGTAAGCTAAGAGATAATAACATTTTATTGCTGTTGATAAAGCACAGGAAGTAAGAACAAAACAATTACCTAGCAAAGCAAAGTTTTATTCTTATTGTTTTATTTTTGCAGAATGTATGTCTTCAAATTATTCAAGTTTTAGTATATTCTAATAGTTCTCATTAGTTTGTGAGAAATTACTTTGCATGTCACATCACATCTTATCATCAGTGGTCTATTTCTTTCAGGAAGTAAGTGATAACTGTTGATCATGCTACTTATACAGCTGAAATGCTTGTTTATCAATCCAGGCAGTGAGATGTCATCTATTCACAATGCCTCTATATGCCTATAACAGATTTTTTTAGTGGGTAAGTGATTATGATTTCTTTTGTTCTGAATCAATCCTGTGCTGAACCTACCATTTTTAGCTGGTAAGATGTTTCCCTATTGATTATTCTCCCTTCTGGTGACTCATCCAATTGCCTTTTCTTTTCTCATGCACTGTTCTGGTAATTATGATGTGCTTTGACATATTTCAGAAAGTATGCTTTCTTGCATTTTGTTTTGCACAATTCTAAAACACATAATCTGGCCATGTTTTTTTTTAGGTGGTGAGTTAGTATTCCTTTCATGAGGCACTCTTCTGGTGACACAGACTGTGGCCTCTCTTTTTTTAGATAGTGAGTTGGCCTGGTTTTTAATGTGCACTCTTCTGGTGACACAGACTGTGGCTCTTGTTTCAGAGGGTGAGTTGTCCTGGTTTTAATGTGCACTCTTCTGGTGAAACAGACTGTGGCCTGTCTTGTTTCAGAGGGTGAGTTGGCCTGGTTTTAATATGCACTCTTCTGGTGACACAGACTGTGGCCTGTCTTGTTTCAGAGGGTGAGTTGGCCTGGTTTTAATGTGCGCTCTTCTGGTGACACAGACTGTGGCCTGTCTTGTTTCAGAGGGTGAGTTGTCCTGGTTTTAATATGCACTCTTCTGGTGACACAGACTGTGGCCTGTCTTGTTTCAGGGAGTGAGTTGGCCTGGTTTTTAATATGCGCTCTTCTGGTGACACAGACTGTGGCCTCTCTTGTTTCAGAGGGTGAGTTGTCCTGGTTTTAATGTGCACTCTTCTGGTGACACAGACTGTGGCCTGTCTTGTTTCAGAAAGTGAGTTGGCCTGGTTTTTAATGTGTACTCTTCTGGTGACATCGACTGTGGCCTGTCTTGTTTCAGATTGTGAGTTCACCTAGTTTTTAATGTGCACTCTCGTGGTAACACATATTTTGGTGTATCTTTCTTAGGGGGTAAGCTGCTTTGCTTTTAGTCATGAATTACTCTTGTTACACATTTCAATTTTTTTAGTTTGTAAGTTATTTGTTCTTCACTGTACATTTTTTAAGCAACTCATTTTTGATGTTTTCCTTTTAGAATGTGAGTTGCTTATATTATTATCCCAATCTATTCTGCTCACTTTGTTCTTGCACTTGTTCTTTTCATCTATAGAAAGTATGTCTGCACTCCTCCACACCTTGTGAGTGTTGTTTGGTAGCTTTCATTTTTCAATCTACATATTTTTAAACAATCTTTTTTATCAGATGATTAATCTCCAATCAAGATCTTCCAGGATGTTAGTCAAAGTTCAGCACCTTGTGGACCAATTTTACAACATCTTTGTATTTCCTTTCTTCAGGATGTAGGTTATCCATTTATTCTCATTTCCATCACCCTGATATGTGCTTTCTTTAAAATTCAGATTGTATGTTGGCCTTTCCTGTTACACAATAATGCTGATGTTTTGTAGTTTGTAAGCATTTGATCCATTTCCAGATTCAAGCACTTTCCCCTTTCAACCATTCTTTTTTTTGATAGAAAGTATGTATTTCTTAACATTATTAAACTGGGTCACTTATTTCAGATATATAGTGGGCAAGTCAACTCCATTTTATGTCACCTTAGAATCTTTGGTGTAAGTAATAAGATTCTCCAATTTTTAGAGGGTATGCTTTGGTTCTTGCTGTCAATGCTGGCTGAATATTCATCTTCAAAATGTATAGAAAGATACAGAGCTATGGAAATTCCAATGATTCTCTTTCTATGCAAAATGTCAAATTTTGTATGTATTCTTATCTGTTCTATTTCTTCTTGTTCATCTCCATTCCCCTTAGTAGTTGATACATCCTCTATACCTATGATTTCTCTAACATCTCTATGATTGAGTTATATATACACCAAGAAGAAACAAAATCTTTAATTACTCAGTTCAGTTTCTGTCTCTTGAGGTGTAGATGAAGTACTAATTGCTCAGAATAACACTCTACAGCATTGTGGACTCAAATATTATTGTTATTATTTAAATATCCCAGCTCTAAAATTAATGGATTTCAAAACACTGTTGTACTCATGGGATTGTCACATCAGGTTGTTGTTTGGTTGTTTGGCATCACCATTACCCTATTTCGACTTCCCCACTCATGCAATGTTCTCCAGAAAGTTTTTGGAGACCAAACCTGAACTAAACTTTGAATTTGGTTGAGATGTTGAGGTTCAAACCAAAGTTCTGGATGGAACTTTGGCAACACTAGCTATGTCCTTCACCATCAATTCTCTTATAATGTATCTAGTGTCCTTTTCTGATCCATAGTTCATCTTTAAATCTTACACTCACTGTGGGCATTGGCTTATGTAAATGGCGGATAAAGTGTGAAAACATTGTGTAGAAATTAATAAATTTTACATCTTTCCTTGGTCGGATATATTGGGAAAGAAATTTAAAATATCTTCTTCGATATCTTTTCCAATTTATAGATTGGGGTTATTATAAATGTTGATGGCAGAGATATGGGAAAGATATTGTAAACCTTTATCTCCTTTTATAGCAGGTGTCAGGTCACACCTGGAACATTTGCCATATATAGCAATTTCTTTGTGGGAAGACCACAGCATGATCTTTTCAAGCTATCTGATCTTTTGGCACTGCACGCTGGTAAGTACCACAACACTCGTTGTCTTGAGCTCAAGTTGAACTTACCGACATGCCAAAACTGCAGCTTTGAAGACGAGAGGCTGCGCTTACGCCATTTTTTCGCTGCGTGGAATTTTAGCTGGCGGGGAGAGGAGGACATCTTGCATGGAATGTTCTTCAATTCTTGACCAATCCCCATCGTCTTAGGCTTAAATTAAACCTACAGGCATACTAAAACTGCAGCACTGAAGACGAGAGGCCGCGCTTTCGCCATTCTTTTGCTGGGTGGGATTTTATTTGGAGGGGGGAGGAGGACATACTGCAATGTAAGTCCCTTGATTATTGACCAATCCTCATCGTCTTGGGCTTAAATAAAGCCCATAGATGTACTTGAGCCACAGCGCCAAACACGAGAGGCTATGCTCATGCCGTTCTTTCGCTGGGTGGAATTTTAGTTGGAGGGAGGAGGACATGTTGTCTGGTATGTCCTTTAATTCTTGACCAATCCCCATTGTCTTGGGCTTAAATGAAACCTACAGGCATACTTAAACTGCAGCACAAAAGGCGAGAGGCTGTGCTTATGCCATTCCTTCGCTGGGTGGGATTTTAGTTGGAGGGGGGGGAGGAGGACATGTAACAATGTAAGTCCCTTAATTCTTGACCAATCCTTGTTGTCTTGGGCTTAAATTAAACCCATAGATGTACTTGAGCCACAGTGCCAAACATGAGAGGCTATGCTCACGCTGTTCTTTCGCTGGGTGGAATTTTAATTGGAGGGGGGAGGAGGACATGTTGCATGATGGGATGTCCTTTAATTCTTGACCAATCCCCATTGTCTTGGGTTTAAATTAAATCTACAGGCATACTAAAACTGCAGCACCAAAGATGAGAGTCCATGATCATGGTGTTCTTTCACTGGGTGAGATTTGGGGGGGGGGACATTGTTATGATACCCTTACTTACCTACTCACCAGTTCCCTCTTCATCTGACACTTACCATATCCACCCCAATTTACCTATTTTCTTTCAACTATGCACACTCTGTTTTTGTACTACTATCAAACCACTATTTGATGTCAGTGTATACTCAGTTTTGAGATTCTGCATTGAACTTTAAATATAAAAGGCAGGTGCTAAGAATAACTCCTGCCGTTGCGCTTACATGGTGCGATCACTCGAAAGACATATCTAGAAATACTGTGCCAGATCCTGGCAAATACCGAGGTCTTTATTGTCCCCCACTGATTCCTGCAGGATTCCTGAGGATTCCTGAGGATTACCAGGACTCTATATTGGCTGATGTGCCAGCCAATTTTTTGAGTCCTGTGGGGGTCTATTCCTGAGGACTGAAGACAGTCCTAAGGATTTTCGGACAGGACTAGTCCCAGGAATGATTCATTTGATGAGTCACATGACCCATGAGCATGTGCTGGGATACATCATGTGATGTGATGCATCCCATGCACATGTTTGTTGATCATATGTGACACGTCACGTCACCTCTCTCTTCCACAACCACAACCACAACCACAATCACCACGACCACCACGCAACAATGCACGACCACCACAACGCCATCGGTAACAACGACGACAACGACGAAATCAACAACAACAACAACAACAACGCTCGTCGACGGCCAACAACGACCACAGCACCACACAACACATCGACAACGAAGCGGCAACGCCACGTCACCAACCAAACGAGCCCAGGGAAGGTCCAGGCGACGCGACGACGCGTCGCCTGGTTGTTTTCGGGGTATGGAGGTGAGTAACCAATCCCATTACCCCCCCACAGCTTACTTTACAGGTACCACGCCGCGCTGGCACCCATGAACGACAAACGAGGCTCAAAACCCATCAACAACACCAGCCCCCCACCCTCCAACGACGACAACGCCCACAAACGACGCCCACCGCCCACAAACGACGCCCACCGCCCACAAACGAGCATGCACCGCCCACAAACGAGCACCCACCGCCCATGAACGAGCGCCCAGCGCCCATGAAGAAAACTCGGCGCCCACAACGACGAACGGTGAGTTCCCCCCCCCACATTGCACCCTCGTTCTGACCCACCGAGGGCGACAGCACCCATCGACAGTGCACACCGCCCACCACGAACATCACCACACCCCCCAACAACGTTTAGTGCCCCCAAAAACGAACCAACGCACACGAACGAGGACCACCGCCCGTGCAAAACAGCTCGCACACCCCCCAGCATCTACCCCCCACCCTCCAAGGACGTCGACGCCCATCGACAACGCACACTGCCCACCACGAATATCACCACACCCCCCAACATCATTTAGCGCCCCCAAAAAACGAACCAACGCACACGAACGGGGACCACCGCCCGTGCAAAACAGCTCGAACACCCCCCAACATCTACCCACCACCCTCCGAGGACAACGACGCCCATCGACAACGCACACCGCCCATCGACAACGCACGCCGCCCATCGACAATGCACACCGCCCACCCACAAACAAGCCCTCGGACCCACGAAAAATGACCCAGCGCCCACGAACGACGACGACCGCCTGCAAACGAAAAGCCCCACACACAACACCAATGGCCCCGCCCATGAATATCCACTCGCCGCCCAGGCATGGCCCTCACTGCCCACATAAATTATTTTTTTGTAATTTATTGTAATATAATAAAATTTATCATGCCCTTTGTATGGTACCTTATATGTCTGACATGACACGTTGTGTGGGAGAGTTGTTCATTCTTCCCTCCCACCACATTCCCTTTCCCATTCTTGCTTCCCCTCTTCCACCATGTCAGCTCCAACCTCCCAGCCACGTCGCTCTGCACGAAGGACCACCATCACAGCTCCTGATCATGAATCTGAGCCAGATAGCGCACCATCACCTGTCAAGTCACCCAAACCCAAGAAAGGTCGGAAACGATTCCAATCCAATGCAGATGAGGGGGCAAGCAAGTGAAAAAAGAAGGACAACAACGACAACGACACCAACACCAACACCAACACTGACAACGAAGCCATTGACAACACCACCGGACATGTCTGGGGAGCTGGGCAGAGCAGCACGAGGGAGAGGGCGAGGTGGAAAGGCTAAGGCTGCTCCATCATGAGGAAAAGGTGGAAAGAGGGGAGGAAAGGGGAAAACCAGGTACATCATTACTATTAGGTGCCTTCTGCCCATTGGCATGTCCGTTGCTGACTCTCCTCATTATTCCCCCTCTATTTCATAGGAAAACTCATGCTGAACGTGCAGTAGAGGATGATGCTGAGGATGCCAAAGGGATTCCAAAGAAGCTGACACCGTGAGTTCTTTCTCTGCTTGGCTCTTGATGAAACTTATACCTTCATCACAGTGTTGAGAAGAAATTGGAGGAGGAGGGGACTACTGTTGCACCTCCAGAGCGTCACGCTCGGTCCCTTACCTCCTCCTACCTTCCTCCAGCTCCATCTATCTCAAGCAGTCGTGTGCGACAAGAGCGTGAGCCTATCACCAAAGGAAAGTCAGGCATGAGCAAGGACAGTGAAGACTTCAGTGACCAGAGAAATAGCAGCAGTGATAATGAAGAAAGTTCGTCCCCCCCTCCTGTTCAGTGACCACAGTAATAGTAACAGTGACAATGTAGAAAGTTCATCCCCCTCTCCTGATTACTCCACCATCAAGATAGGTCCACCAGTAGGTCGTCGCCGTACTATGCCTACCAAGTCCATTGTGCCTCAGAGACAAGTGGATACCGACATTCCTATGGCTTCACCTGATCAAGAGAGGGTGACATCCACCACTCAGCTTGAGAAAGCAAAGCCAAAGATCAAAGGTTGGTCATTATATATATTCATATATTTATTGTACTATCATAAACTTCTTAGCTCTGGATCTGGCACACTTCTCTCCTCCTCCTCCTGAAGGGTCGTCCCGCTCCTATGGTGGGATTATTAGAGGTCGAGCTGCAGGCAATATTTACAACTTTGGTAAATATTTTAATTTTGACTTCGAAATCGATAGATGACATTCATGACTCAGGAGATACTCTGGCCTCTGCTCCTGAGGCAGATTCTATCATACCTGATGGCCGCATTGTCCTGTCTATTGTTGATCGACCACCTCGCAGTCTGACCATTGGTGAAACAGATTCAGTCATCAAAATTCCAACTCCTTGCTACCCTACAATGGGACCTCTTTTGAAGCACATGAGTCGTTCATATTCACCAGTTGAAAGTAAGATTTACATTTGCTCTTAGCTAACTATCTATTAAGTCATTAAATCTAGAGCAAAATAAACGACTCTATGTTTTTGACAAGCAGGAATGGATTATGCTTGGTCGTTATCGGGTAGCAGTTGAAGACAATACTGATAGCTACTGGAAACAAGAAGAAAATGAGATGTTGATGAAGATTCTTGTTGTAAGTTCAAGTAATTCTATAATTAGAGTAATATTGACATCACTTCAGGAAAATGATCCTGCTGATGTTCCTCCTCCTTCACCTCTTGTAGCATCTGCTATTCCTCCATATTTTCACTCCCGATCTCTTTTTGGTTCCCGTTCTGCACCTGCATCACGTTCTGTATCTGCCTCACGCTCTGTCTCAGTTCCTACTTGGTCTCCTGCCATCTCAGTTTCCCGTTCACCCTCTGTTGCTTCTTCTGCCAGTGTAGCAACTGGAGGCCCAGCCTATAAGAAGTTTTCTAAAGAAGATATAGATAGTCTTCTTCAGTATCTGGGGATAGATATACAACTTCCCCTAGCTTCCTCTTGTCTCCAGGGCTGCTATCAGAAGCATTGTGCTATCGTCAATGCTACTGATAAATTATTGAAACTGGGTCGAGATTCTGTGTGGCTTGCCTTGGAGGAGAAACAATGGGTTCCATCTCTCAAAGACTTTATTGAGATATTTGTAGCAAAGACACAGTACTATGGGACTTGGAAGAAAGCATTTGATGATGCTGTTAGATTTCCTGTGATGCAGGACTGGCTGGCTCTGGAGGATGATCGAAAGTCGGATAGGGCTGTCTGGGGTGAAGAGAAAGGGTCATACAGCTTTGAGGACTTGAAGGTTTATATTCAGAAGAAGAAACGGGAAAGGGAGATAGCTGAAAGGGGAGCTGCATTACAGGCATCAGGATCACATGCAGAGAGTAGGGAGTCATCTGATAGGAAAGGCAAGAAGAAGAGCAAGAGGTCCAAGAAAGATAGCTCAGGGTAAGTATGGGTATTGTTCTCTCTCCTTCATTGATTGCAATTGTAACTGTTACTTGTATTATAGTTCTATGCCACTGTCTGTCTTATTGTCTAGTCTTGTCTAGTTGATTCTAGGAATTCCTTTACAATATCCAATCTTGATCTGGATATTTATCTGGCTTTATATGGCATTGCCTGTTACTGCAACACCTAGCCAAAGTCCCTTTCCAAACATTTTGTTCACTGAGTTCAGTCGAGCAGTAACCACTACTTTTGGCTCTAGTGTTACATTGGCAACTGTATTGGCAATCTTGTTCTCATTGACAGATAACACTGATTTGCTGAATCTGCATTTTCGCCAACAGCATCCAACAGAAACTGGAGAAAACAAGATTCATACATCTGGTTGGATTACTGCCCTTGTAAATGCTTTAAGTGACAAACTGGGCAAAAAAAGAACTTCATCATTATTTTTTGATTATGAATACTCAGAGTCTCTTTGGGAAAATGATGGGAACAAACGTCGAGTTAAATTGATTGCCGGAAAACTTGACTCATTTGCAAATGACTTGAGCTTGTCACCTTATGATCAAGATGGAAATTATTGTGGAAAACTAGGTGCAATATCACATGATAAAATTCAGCCAGCTCTTGTCATTTGTCCAACCTCATTTGTATGTGCAACTCAATCCTGCAGTCCCAGATCATTGCTTCAGGCATCCCGGTCTCGTGATATACCTCTAGTAACTTGTGTCAAAGGCCACACAATACATAAAAATGTACCTGTTCTTACTGGACAGTGCCATTCATGTCAAACATCATATTCAGCAGATCATGAACGGTTTCAGGATTTATCAACTATTTCAAAACCTTGGAAACGGGAATACTTGAATTCTGCCAAATACATTAAAATTGGTCAAGCACTATGGGTGGATCGGCTTTTCTGTGCATAAGCAGTCAATGCCATGTATAACTTCCATGCATCAGCATCAGCATATGCTGAGTACTGGAATAATACATTTGGAACTGGAGAAGTCCTCATTGCTAGGGCTCACATTTGGCAGACCTTTGTCCAAGAATCAATGCGTACTATTGCTGAAGAGTCACAGATAAATGTTGAACTTAATGATGCACTCAATATCAAGGAAGTCACTGCAGAGGCTTTCTCACTTTTGGGAGAAAATGGCATCATACGAGCAGCTGATAAACACTCTTGTGATGAATGTACTCAAATTTATCGGCGAGTTGGTGAAACATCTGCACAAGTACCCACTACATCAGATAGTGATAGCAGTGACAGTAATGTGATGGATGTAGATAAGAAATTTGTAAAAATGGCAGTCTTGGATGGCATTGTAATGGGTCCTACACATTGTGCATATGATAATTGCTCAAATGATCTTTCTAACTCAAGAGGTGGATCACTTTGTGATCAGCATCATTTACAACTTGGATCTTATTGTCTAGTTCGGGACTGCTCAAATCGAAGAGTTGAAGGAACTTGTGCATGTAGTGATTATCAAAGTGAATGGAATACTTATAAAAAACATACAACTCAGAATGTTCGTTCTGGTGTACGAAGAATGTTGCAGCATCCTGGAGAGAACTATGAATGGCAACCAAAGGCCAAAGGCCCCAATCCACAACGCCATGATGATCCAAATACAGATCCTCCCTTACCATCTAATCTTTTTAGTCCCTCTCGTTTCTACTGTGTTGAAACTGTCTGTGCACCATGTGGAGTTGTCATTGCTTGGACAAAGTTTGATAGATCAGAGTCTCCTACAAACATTTTGAATTTCTTAGAATCAGTGTTTCCAACAGAGGAATCCCGACCTGATTATATATGCATTGATAAAGCCTGCCAGGTTCTGGCAACTGCTGTAGCAAATGGAAGTTGGGACACCTGGAAAAAGACAACTTGATTCATTGTAGACTCCTATCATTACACAAATCATCGGAAAAAACACTTTCTTTGCTGCAAGTACTGCAACCCTGCTCCTACAAATGGCCAAGCTCCCAATCTGGTTATTGTAGAGCAGAGTGAAGATGGACAGCCAATTGCACATAGAGCCTTTAACACTCAGGTACATTCTCACCTCTTATATAATTCTTCAGTTAACTAGATAATGACAGGTCTGTGAACAACTCAATGCATGGCTTGGTGGTTTTGAATCGATTGCAAAACGTATGACACCAAGCAACTTTAATTGGTTCATACATGCCATGCTTTTTTATCACACAAAATATGTTATAAACAGGCAAGACATCAAGAAGCAAAAGAAAGAAGCCACTGAGGCTGAAGATGAAGACTTGGGCCTAGATGAAGAATCTGAGGAAGAAGAAAGTGACTAAATGATATGCAGATAGCTTAAGAAGTGTACTATAGTGTATTACAAATAGCTAAAGAAGTGTAGAAGTGTACTATAGTGTATTACAAATAGCTGAAGCTGAAAAGTGTAGAATAGTGTATGCTTTTAGTACATGAAGAATCATTGATAGTCCTCAGGAATCCTGAGGACTTGACCAAATTTTTCACTCTAACTCAAATTTACCAAAATTATAGTGTAGTCCTGCAGGAATCCTCAGGAATCCTCAGGAATCCTGAGAGTCCTGCAGGAATCAGTGGGGGACTGATAAGTACTGGGAAAATCAGACCAAAGGTAGTCTGATGGCAACAGGCCGTCAGATAGCAGATTGTGTGACGCTTATTGCTTACCTGGAGACACAGAATCAGGGTAACCAGCGGGAAGGAACACTTTCGATAAGAGATCAAGGACGCGTCCATGGCCTTGCTATGGCCCCTTGAATAGGCAGAGATGGGATGGGACTCGATGACAATATCTTTATTCAAAACAGCCTTCTCTCTGCAACCTGCCCCTCGTCCACCTACTACAACTACCAGCCCTGTGCCATCCCCCGACTCGCCCAGGTTAACGTTCATGGATGTTCTTACAAATTCCCACACCCACCCATTCCAACTCCCTCTTCGCTTCGTTGTTGCGCCTCTCCCACCTGGTGGTGTGAGCTTCCACCACGCCCATTGCATGAATCTCCACCACATTTGTGGCTCGAACTCCTGCCACTGCATTGATCTAGTTCCCGATGTCTACTTGCCTAGTCCATCGACGGCATTGAATTTCAAAGAAGGCGAAGAGCCGCAGACGTTAAGCGAGATTGAGTTGGTCCCCGACTCCCCGCTGGCCTGCATTTAACTTCCAGCTGCCCCTTGACGTCGTTATTCTCCAATTGTCTGCCCCATCGACTCTACCTCACTCAGCTTTCCCGAGGATTAATAATGCGCCTAAGTGCGCATATACACTGTCAGGAGTGATCACACACGAAAAAAATCAAACCAAAGATACATACGAACATTATTGACGAAGCAAATCCTACGAAATGAGAAGTTAGCAAAATGGATCCTAGTTGTGAAGATGCGGAGAAAACTGACATCTGGATAGATGATACGGCTCGACGTCGCAGTCCATCTTTTAAGTATGGTAGGTGGCCCACTGAGTCTTGCATGTACAGGAACGTTTATGTCTCTCTGAGCCAGGTTCCGAGTGCCAGGTGACAGAATTTTGGGCTGTGCTGTGTGAGCGCTTGGATGTCCCAGCAAAATGCAAATGATTCTCACTTCTTTCCTTCGCCCCCATCTGCTATACTTCCAACATGAGCCAACCAAATGTCCTCCAGGGAGCTCAGAACATTGTTATAACTGACAGCAACATAAACGTTGCCAATGCTGTAAGTGAAGTTCTCTGATGCCTCTTACTATTGCAAGCTAATCACTTGGTATTTTGCACAGATCAATTACTACACTAGCACTGGCAACAGAACGATATATGCAATGATTCCCATAAAACCAAACTCAAGTATTCATTTCATAGGACGGACCAACGTTCTTGCAAAACTGAAGAAACATTTTACTGCCGAAAGCAATGATAAACTCCGCCATCAAAAATTCTTTTTGTTGTATGGCATGGGGGGTATTTGGAAGACTCAGATTTGTTTGAGGTTCATTGAGGATATGTCTGACTAGTAAGTACTCCACCATACTACTTAGTCCCCATTTCATGGGTTCCCAGCTTTTCCCATGTTTTCTGGATTGATGCATCTTCAATTGGTACAATCACACAGGGACTGAAGGGAATCTGCAACCTTCCTAAGGCTCAGTCTTCTGCTCTGGATGGTTCACCTCAATCTGCTTTACAGTGGATTAGCTCTCTGAGAGAAAACTATGCAATGGTCTTTGATAATGCTGATAATCTGACACCTGAGGAACTGGAGCAATATTTTCCACCTGGACTAGGAGGGAATATTCTGATAACTAGTCACAACTCTGGCTTAAAACATTTGACTTTACATGAGAGTTCTCTTGAGGTGAA